ATAGCATAAGTAAATACTAGCATAGGTAAATAAGGGATGACATTTCACCATCATTGTCCCTCAATCCCAGCCTTCAATCTATACAAACGCCGAGAGACAGAAAAAAAAGACTGGTCGAATCTAATTGTTGGTTGTTCCTTATTGTTACTTCTTTGGCAACAACAAAATCACTGGATATATAACAACATTGTTCAAATTATCGCCATAATTAATCTCGCTGGGCATGGACAATCTAGCTATACATGCCCGTTAAAAGAATGGGTATTGGATCAGATTGAAGTCACTTCCATGCCCCGTGGCAAGAGACAACCTTCTGTATCCTGTTTCATCACAACATGTTCTGACCCAACCATATCGTAGGATACGAGGTCGCCTTACAAATACCAGACTTCCCCTCTCGATTATTCGAATTAATTAAAAATAAAAGCTCTTGGATAACCATCCATTGTACCTTGCCCAGCTTAATTGTCACTTTTGCTTTTAAACTTTTAGGATGTGTGAGTGTCTTTAACTCAATATTAACTCATTTTTATCATTAAACATTAGAAATGCGTTGCATCATCACCACCTCGTTAACATGTCACAACATTTGTTCTTGGTGGAGTGAGTCTTATCCTTTTTCATATTTTTTTATAATAAAACATTGGATTAGAGTTACTTTTGCTCTTGAATTCAGAATACTCGCGGACTTTAAGGCAAAAATTTAAGATAATTATGGATTCTAAGAAAAAAAATTTGAGGACAAAAGTAACTCTTAACTCATTTTACTAGAAACAGATAATATGAAACACATTAATGATGGGTGACAAGGCAATATATTTCAAACATTTGAAGATAAAGATAACTCAAGATGGAGTTTAGGATACTCTTAAATCTTAAAGATAAAGTTTATGAATAAATATGGCCCTTAATCCTACTTTTCCCTAAGCTAAAAATGCTTTCATTTTTTAGCCAATTCAAATGCTTTCAATAAGACAAATTCAAACCCATACGATTCAAGCTTCGTTCACACACACGCACGCACGTACGCACGCACACACGTGCTTTATAATGTATGTAATTTATTTAAGAGTTAATATGCAATTTGAAACTTAAATTATAAGTTCATGAGCAATTTAAACTTTAAATTTTTATTTGGTACATTCTAAACATTAAACAATTAAAATTGGTGCAATTTTACCCTCACCACTAAATCAAAGCAAATATCCATTATCTTTATAAAAAAATAGAGTTAAATGTACATTTTTTCTCAAAAGAGTGTAAGAGAGAAAGGGAGAGTGAAATTTAATAAAAATAACACATTATACCTTATTTTTTAAAAATATAACAGACGTTTGTTTTAATTTAACGGTGGGGTGAAATTACATCAACTTTAATTGTTTAAGATTTAAAATATACCACATAAGAGTTTAAAGTTCAAATTGTTTATGAACTTATAGTTCAAGATTTAAATTTCACATTAACCCTTTGTTTTATAATGTTAGAAGAGTGATGTTATTTAATTTTAAAGAATGACTAAATATTAAAGCTTAGGTTAAAATTGTTGTCTTACTTATTAAAGTATATGACTGAGGATTATTAACATTAAAAATTATATATTTCATAAAAATTCTTGTCGCCTAAAAAAGGAATGGAACATTAATCAAAACCACAGGGAAAAAAAGAAGAAAAGAATAGAAAAGAAAAGCGGTGTGACACATTCAAGTTTTGAAAGTATTTGAAATCTGAAGGACGTGCAAGAAAAGTGCCGAGAAGAATTGTGAATGACGAATGTTGGAGTTTGGATTAGGATATAAGGACACTTTTTAAATAAGTATTTTAATTATAATTGTTAGATTTTATCAAAATTTAAAATTATCATAATATATTTTTCTTTAAAAATTTAAAACAATTATTATACCTAAAACAATCTTTACCTGTATTATTTCTTTGAAAATTTTAAAATTTAATATTTTTTAAGTATTATTACTTCCGATCCTATTTATAAGTTATTTCTATCAATCTCATCAATATCAATACAAATACAATAAAAGTATAAGAAATAAAAGTAAATGAAATTTCAAACACAACTCTTAAGTAAAAAAAAAAAGATAAATCTATCATATAATATTATTTTTTCTGTCTTTTTCTCTTATTTTTTAAGAGTAATTTGAGAATTTCTATTTAACACAAAATAATCTTATCAATAAATAATTTATAAAATAAATTAGATTATATTTTTAAAAAATGACTTATATATTGAATTGAAAAAATGCATGACAAAATTTTTTATAACTATTTAAATTGTTATGGAATGAATATGTATAGATCACATGATAATATGAGTGAACACGTACGATTAGTCTTCTTTTGTGGTCAGCAAATTACCTTTAATCATGGCGAATCTTCCTTAAATACAGAAACAACCTGTCCTTCCATTTCAATATAATATTAAGACTAATATCTTTACCTTTTTCTTTATTTATTCCAAATAGAATAACACTATCTATTTGTATATTGAATATTGTACATTTGTACTTGTACGTGCATGAGGGGCTTTTAAGTTTTAACTTACTGACAAAGATTTTGTCTAAAAAAAAAACAAACAAACTTACTAAGATTAGGATAAATTAGTTAAAACAATAAAATTATCTTAAATACGCATCACTTTTCCTGTTACTCATAGCAGACACTATATATCTTTAAATACTGAATATTGCGTTTAGACAAGGGGGTTTGAATTTAGAGGCTAAATCCACTATTTTATCTCTAAAAATTTATGAATTTTAAAATTCGTATTTCATTATTTCAAATGCATTATACATCTTATTTATTTAAAATTTATCAATCATTTTCTTCCTGCTTTCATTTCTCATCTCTTTCCTTTCATCATCTCTAAATTTGAAAATTTTTATATTACCAGACAAAAGAAGAACTAAATACATATATTTAAAATGTAAATTTTTAAAATTTAAATTCACATCCACCATTCCAACCCTATAAAATATTACATTGAAATGTGGCTAAGAGAATATTTATGAAATAACTCATTAAAAGTTACATTAAAATATGAAAAATGACTTATATTAAGGATTATAATTTTCCTCCGCATGATCTAATACACTAGACTGGAGAGTATGTGTTACAATGTTAGCCTTCCTACCCCACATGAACCTCACATGTAGACTTAGTAATTAATTTTATATATTTAATACTCCTATTTTAATTCAATTAAATCAAAACAAGTTAATTTTAATGTGTAAATAACATTAATAAATAAATTAGTATGGAATAATAATCTATAGAATACACATGTATTAATTTAATTAATTAAAAACAATTAATTTAAATATATAAAATTAAGTATATAAATTTTTTTCAATATTTATTTCAGACAACCAGTCAATTGATTTCTTAATCACATCACCTGAATGAGTTCAGAAATCATAATAATAATAATAATAATAATAAATAATTAGAAAACAAAGATCCTGATTTCTGTACTGAAAGATTATTTATTCTGATTAAAAAAACAGATTATTTATGATTGACCATTTGACTGTTGTGATATGCAACAACCTGAACTTCCCAGTCCCATTGTGCCGCTTCTTGGAAATCGCAGCATCGTGCGCGCCCTCATCGCAGAGAATGTCTTTGTATTCAACCATTTATTTAATCTGATTTACAGAATATTAGTTTAATAATCTTACCACTACAAAAAAATTATTTCTAACTTTTAAATTTGATTTCCTCGTCTTATAATTTATACAAAATTAATAATTCATTAATTTAAATGTTATTTATTTATTTGACATATTATTAACTCATCCAACTCAAGACGCAAAAGTCCTGGATAGAGTATAACATCAGGACAGATTCAAGCATATTTTTAATTAAATTTATTGTCAATACATAGACACTCTAGTTATTAATGAATAATTTCACATGATTATCATACTCAATTCATGAACATGATTATTAGTTCATGGGTCAACAGAATGTAATTTAATATAATAGTACGTGTGTGATTAGGTTATAAGAAGTGGGGATGTGATTCTATAAATATAAATATTAAAATAATTTTGGTAACAGAATAATTAGAACAACATATAATATGGTATTCAAAAGAGGATAGAAAACTAGCATCCAAGTCAATCTTTATTTTTTTTAATTGTTTGTAAATATCTTTTATCAGAGACAATTTGGTCCAAGCACCATTCAATTCCTGAATATTTGTTGGTCAAATTCAAATCTCATTGACTGACCAAAAAATTAATCATGGTCGGCCATATGGTTTTACAATGTCTTAATTAGCCTTCTAACTGCAGCCCGATAGGTAGGTAGATTTGTCATAGTTCATGGTCGATCATATGGTATTTGTCTGTGTAATTATCAATGGCTCTACTAATTACGGCCATTGAATTCGATAAATGTGATGCTTGAACCTGCTTTTTTTTTTTTAATGTTCTTTCAGAAACATCACTTTCTTCCAATTATCTGGACCATTTCCATTTTCCAAGTAGTTTATATATGTATACAGATATTTTTTTGACCAGCATATATGCATATAGATATGTACGTATGTAGTAATTTCCACTTCATATATTGTATTTATTAGGGAGAATTATAATCAAATTTTTTATAAAAAAATTAATTATTATAAAATTTATTGATAATTGAATTAATTACATTGACTTTGTAATTTAATTTAATTATCAATGACGTTTTGCTGTAATTAAATTTTTTATATAAGACAATATAATTCTTCCTATTTATTGTGGTGATTCAATTTACCATTTTGACCAAACCCTTGAGTTTGGGCATAAACTTTTCTGCCGCTCCCTCGAGAAGCCCAAACCGCTCCAGCCCTTGGGGCCTAAACCGTCATTTCAATATCAACGGGGCCCCACCACTTCGGGACACCAGAGTCATTCTTTCAAAGTATGAGGGTATTTTGGTGCTTTTGGAAGGTGTTGCTCTCAGCCTCTCACTGTACTAACTGCGATTTCCGTCCGAGAATGGCTTGCGGAGTTGGCAATCTCCCTTCTCCGTCTGCCGAACCATTTCTCTGAGCCCGTTTCTTACTCTCCGTCCTTCTCTTGGGCACTTATGTTGCTCCAATCTCCTTCCTCACCCATCCTCTCTTTTTCTCTCTCAAGTGTGAAAATTTTCCATCTTTCTCCATCATCGTTATTCATTTATTGCTAACTCACATTCATTTACTCATTTTAGTGAAGTTCCGTGCTTCAGCTTGTGTGTGTGTGTGTGAAAATATGCCGCTAGTGAGGGTGCAGGTTCGGAATGAGTACGGCCTGGGGCGGCCTGAGTTGTGCAAAGGGACCAACAGAGAAGATCCCAAGGCTGTGCTGGATGGTGTGGTTGTGGCTGGCCTTGTGGGGATCCTGAGGCAACTGGGTGATCTTGCTGAGTATGTTTTCTTTAATCTTCTCTATGAAATTCTCTTTTTGCTCATACAGGTGCACAGTGTCTGAAATTTGAACCCTTTTGGTATTTCATTGGTAAATGGGGTCATAAGTTTCTCCATTTCGAGACTTTATTGTGTTGTAGGCTACGGGTTTACGAGAAAGGTAGATTAGCTACCTGCAAAATATGGCGTATTTTATATTTAGCACTAAGAAGTCACTTAGTCGTTGAAGTTGATACTTGCGTTAAATTTCCGTTAATATAGTGAAAAATTGTCAGTTTTTTTAGCTGGTTCATTTGAGGGACTTAAGCTTGTTCGACGACTTACAAGTTCAAATACCCACAGTACATCAATACTCTGGCTGGTTTTGGATTAGTTCTATCTGTTTCTCGCCTCTAAACAATTTCGGGCTTTAAGTGGTGGCAATGGTCAGTCGGAAGAATAAAGGGGAAAAAGGTGCAATTATACTTTGATTTAGGGAGAGTAGCACTGTGCTGTCTATTGCCAATGAGAGGATTTAGATAGCACGACGAACTTGCACAGAAACAGCATCCAGAGACATGCAAACCACCTGTTGGATGAAAAACAGAAGTTCTGGTTATCCCTGTTATAAGAGGAACTGCCAATCAATTTTGGTTTCCATTTGTGTATATATCCTTTGTGACGCACAGAATTTCTGGCTGGTGTAGCCCATCAGATTGGACTGCAAAGGAAGTTAAAAATGCTTGATCCTGATTATAATGGAACTGAACATATGTGGAATCCAGTCTACTCTGTACTATCTATAAAGCAACTTGAAGGCAATTTTCATTATATAAATATTTGTCTGATAAATAATTAATTATTGAAAGTTTATAATTTAGTTAAGAATATTGAAGAGAATAATTGACTTTATTATGTCTTAGATATTTGCACTCTAGTTTCTCTCTCCTCATGTTGAGTCTTTTCCTCCGGCATCCTCTATCTTTTGTTCAGAATGTGCCTCAGTTTCCAGTATTTCTTTCATTATGGCAGATTTATACTTGCTCCTGGAATCTGTGCATGCAATTAACTTTATGTTGACAATCAAATCTCATGTAGTTCTAGCGTTCCTTTTGGGAATTTGTGTTGAAATCTAACTAGGAAGCTTCATTTACATTTAGCTTCGCGGCGGAGGTTTTTCATGGTCTGCAGGAGCAAGTACTTACCACAGCTTCTCGGAGCCATAAATTGATGCTTCGTGCTCAAAACATTGAAGCTTCTCTTCCTCCACTGGAAAAGGCCATCTTGGCACAAACAAGCCACATACACTTTGCTTACACAGCTGGTATACATCATATGAGTTATAACTGCATTTGCCTGATTTTGATTTGTCATAACTTCTCTTTTAGAAAATGGTCTCGAACTACTTTATTGTCGGGAATTTTATATATATTGCAGAAAATTGTTTTTCCTCTCCAGGTGATATTTTTATGTGTTAGGAATAATAAGAATTGAGTGGTTAGTTGTTTGTGGTTACTAGTTAGTTCGCTACTTAGCTGTTGCTTTTTAGGTACCATGTGTTACATTTTAGTCAATACTTGTTAGTAATTTTTGGTTTGTTGTTATGGAAGCCAAAAGGTATATAACAAATGTGCAAGAAGCCCAAACTTAAACTGTGAAAGTCTGGCCTCTGAATCATACTGCATCAGTAAGAGTACCATTTGAGCCTCTTCAAATTACTATTTGGCTAGTGCAGCACATGTTTGTGCATTCAAGTTGCAGTAGGATAACTTTACATTGTTTCTGTTGACAAACCAAGTATAGTTTTTCCATTCTAGCATATGGGCTTTTGTATTCTTCATTTTATTTGTTTTTGGCCAAGTATATTATTTGGAAATTCAGTGTGCCTTTGGATCAACATTTTAATATCTAGGTGATATGGGAGAACTTAATGAGAGCACTTACCCTTTCAGGTTGTGAATGGCACAGTCGCACAAAAACTGAACAAAATCATTTCATTTACAATGACTTGCCACCATTTATTATGCATTCATATGAAGAATGCCGGGATCCTCCATGCCTGCACTTGCTTGATAAGTATGTCACATTTTCTTTTGATTTCTCTCACCTCTCATTTTTGTTTTGAACATAGTTAGTATGGTTTGATACTACATCTTCAGTTAGTTTCCGTTTGCTAAATGGTGAGCAACTATGCTAATTTTTTCAGTTCTTTTATTCATTTTCCTGAAACTTGTTCTGTCCTGTTTTTCTCCCTTTTCTTTTCTTTTTCTTTTCTTTTTCTTTTTTTATTTGATGGTGGTGACTACTGTCAATGAAGTCAAGTAATCCAGCTAAAATTCAGTTCAATTTATAGCTGATGAACTAATTCCTCTGTATCATTCAGATTTGATCCTGGTGGCCCAGGATCTTGTCTAAGAAGATATTCAGATCCCACTTTCTTCAAGAGAGTATCAGAATCTTCTGATGAAGTACACGTTGAGAAAACTGAAAGATCTAGGAAAACTAGTAGAATCAAGGTACTTCACTGTTTGAAGCATTTCTGTTTTACTTCATTCAAACTAGATGCAGGCCCATGTAAAATTGTTGGAGCTAACGCAAGCCAAATATATGCAATCAAAATTCTATTCATGAGCCATGGTTTCCTATAGCATTATTAAATACATAGATGCTCTCCAATCAATATCTTGGTAATTATGAGAAATATGTTGGACAGAAGAGGTTGTCACGAAGAAATGGAGAAACTCTGCAGGGTGAACAAATGCATAGCAATAGCGGCAGGTACAACATCCTTTCATGGATTGCAAAGACATACATACATACATACATACATATTCATGTCATGTTACTAATTCTTAAAATCAATCACATGATGCAATTTGCTTTGCACGTACAGGCAAACTTCTTTTTCACAAACAGCTGATGTGGTGCTGGAATCAGATCTGGAGGATCATTCTTATTCTGTTGATTCAAGAGCTGATGTTGGACGGGGGAGAAGTATGTCAGAAAGAAATGGAGAGACTCTGCTAGGTGAACAGACGTATAGCAATGATGGCAGGTAAAACATCCTCTCGGCTGTCATGGATTTCAGAGATGTATATCTATGTCATGTTACTAATTCTTAATAATCAATCACATCATAATGTATGATTCACAGAATGCAGTTTGCTTCGCATGTCAATGGGCAAACTTCTTCCTCCCAAACAGCTCATGTGGTGCTGGGATCAGATCTGGAGGAACTTTTTTATTCTGTTGATTCAAGAGCTGACTCTGGCTACATTGAGTGTGTTTTTCAGCCAAGTAATTCGGTGCAACTTGGCGAGCAGGAATGTAAGGAATTACCCTCATCTGGGTTGACAAAGAAAACTGATGCTCTTCAGTTGGCATCTCCTACTATAGATTGTAAGTTTTCCCAAGGATCATTTGACAAGCAAATTGCCTCAACTTCTACTGGTCCTACTTGGGATAAAAAGGAAGAGATAGTGGATTCTGAAAGTCAACAGTGCGATAGGGATGAAATTCCAGAGGTCCTTGATGAAACGCAGGGCCTACATATGCTTGAAGATGAACCTGCCACCCCAGAAAATAGTGATAAAAGTGATTTCATATATGGAGAGGAAAGAAACCTAAAACCAGTTTCGAACAGGGTCCAAACAGATGAAACTGATAGCGAACCTGATAATTACTTGGATGCTCTTAACACTATTGAATTGGAATCTGAAAATGATCTTGATTGCAAAGAAAAACGAGAGGCAGAACAGTTCAAATCTCATGTCACTTCTGAAGTCATGGTAAATGCAGTGGGAGCTACATCTACTGTACTAGACCATGATTTTTACAATATTTTTTCTCATACTATATCTAATGCATCTTTATACAAAGAAACAGGTTGGGATTTCCCTGAAACCCTGCAAGAAATTTCTCCTCACATATCAGAGAGACATGTAACTGGTTTAAGAAATTCAGTTCAATCAGATGTTCCTGATAACATAGAAAGGACCAAGATTTTAGTTGCTTCTTATGACTCTGAGAGTCCCATCCGTGAACTGGTTCCTGACATATGTGGAAATTCTGTTTTGGACTGCTCTGTAGGCCCGAATACTTTGGATGATACTTGTTCTCTTGATGATACAGTGTCAGCATCCATCAAAACTGTTCCATCAAATGCACCTGTAGATATAGAAAGTAAAAGGAATTTAGTTGATTCTCACTGCTCTAAGAGCCCCACTCATGAACAGGAGCCTCACCAACCTGGAAGTTATGCTTTGGACTGCTCCATAGGTACCAATCCATTGGATGATGCTCATATTCTAGACAATGCAGTGTCAGTGTCCATTGAGCCTGTTCAATCAAACGTTATTGTTAGCAGAGAAAAGATTGAGAGTTTAGTTGATACCTTTGAGTATCCTATCAGTGAACAGGTGGCTCACGTCAGTGGAAATTCTATTTTTGATAATGCTCATAATGAACAGGAGCCTCACCAACCTGGAAATTATGCTTTGGACTGCTCCATAGGCACCAATCCCTTAGATGATGCTCATATTCTGGACAATGCAGTGTCAGTGTGCGTTGAGCCTGTTCAATCAAATGTTATTGTTAGCAGAGAAAGGACAGAGAGTTTAGGTGATACCTCTGAGTATCCTATCAGTGAACAGGTGGCTCACAACAGTGGAAATTCTATTTTTGACAATGCTCATAATGACTCACAGTCAGCATCCAGTGAGAATGTTTCACCAGATGTTTTTGTTAATTCAGAAACGACCAAGGATATAGCTGATTCTTGTGCCCTTCAGAGTCCCATCCATGAACAGGTGTCTCACGTATGTGGAAACTCTCTTTTAGAATGCTCTGTAGGCACCAATCCCTTGGGTGATTATCCCACACTTAATGATTCAGTATCAGCATCAATTGAAATTGATCCATCAGATGATCCCCTTAACTTCGAAAGGAGCAAGAATTTAGCTGACTCTCACAGTTCTGTGAGTAACATCCATAAACAGTTGCCTTACATTAGTGGAAATTCTGTTTTGAACTGCATGGGAGGCACCAATCCCTTGGGAGATGCTTGTACTCTTCATGATACAGTGTCAACATCCATTGAAACTGATCCATCATCTGGTTCTAAAAGTTCTGATTTACCAGGCAAGGAAGCACATGGTATTGACAGTAATGTCTCCGAAAGTAAGAAGACTCCTTCAGAGCCGACTAGGGATCCTTCATTTGGGTTATGGACTAACGGTGGATTATTGGGACTTGAGCCATCGAAACCCCCTGATTTTATTATGTCAAGTTCTTTAAATCAAGGGCTTATGACCTTGGCAAATGGTGCAGATGGTGTTTCAAATAATAATTCAATACTAAAGAGCAATGGATATAGAGAGGAACAAGATTTATCAAAGATTGCTGAACTAAATCAAAAGGAACCAAGTTCTAGATGCTTAGTATCACAGTGTGATGATCAAGCTTGCATCTCTGGAAAGACATCCAGCTGTCATTGGCAGAGCAGTAGACGTGTTCAAAATGATGAAGATTTTGATAAAAATGGGGTACCGGTACCTGGAACTGTTGTCCCAGTTGTGCACACAGGTTGTACTGAACCTATTAAGGGAAGTGGGCTCAATTCACCTCTTCTGTTTGGGCTTGGTCATAAATTACTTGCAAATAGCTTTTGTCGGAGAGTTTCATTTAATGAAAAATCTGGACCTGATAATTCTTTGAAAACTGGCTTATTGGAGCAGAGTGGGCAAAATAGCACTGTACAGCAGTCACTTCCAGGGACATCCTTCAAAGAGCAAGTTAGTTATGATTATCCTATCTGCTCACCACCTCCTTCTCCCCCACTTGAACATATGAAAATATCTTTCTGTCCTGTTGATGGGTTTGAGACCTTCAAACTAAAACTGAGATTTCCTGATGCGACTAACCATAGTGAGAGTACAAGGGATATGTTTCCCTCATTCCGATTGGTTCCAGAGCATTCCATTCTTCTGCATGATTCAGGCTCCAATTCAGATGATGACGATACTTTTTGCAGATCATCTCCTTTTGTGTCAGATGATTGCCTTAGTCCTCACTCTGACTATAATTCCGATCAGTGGGAGTCCTATGATTCTCCTGATATCAGTGGCGATGGGGTATATGATTTATCCCACAGAATATCGTTAATCGATTCGAAGTCAAGTTCGCAAGAAGTCAGAGGAGTGACCAATGTTGATATCAATTTGGACAGTGAACATACTATGCTTACTCAGGATAGTGCGGAACCTTCATTATCTGGGAATTTACTTGATTTTCCTAGCTTTGATACTATGAACCCTGTTCTTGGAAAAGAACGTAACGAGCATTCTCATTACGATAATCTCAAATTGCAAGGTTACACTGAGTCTATACCACCAGCACCGCCTCTTCCCTTAAGTCAGCGGCGGCTCTCAAATCAGCGGTCAGATATGATGAATGAAAAACAAAATTGCATGTCAAAAGACGCTAAACAAATTAATGATCCAACCGATCATGAGGATCATGAGTTTAATGACGATATTCCAAGTAAATTGAGGGAAAAGGTATTCATCTTGTATATTCTTCTATATAAAGCTTTATGTTTAAGTAACCATGGTGGATAAGGAATTTTGCATTATTCATCAATTCAGTCTGTCTGTAGCATGAATGAACATAAGATAGGAAATCAGAAAGGAAGATTTTCTTCATCAACAAAGAAGAAAAGCAGTCATTTTCTTAATTTTTGCTTGTTATTGTCGCAGTCCTTCAATCAAGAGCATACAGTTACCGGAAAGCCAAATGATACAAGTCCAACTATAGCAGACAAAGTTGCTGCAATTTTGGAGAAAGCAAATGCCATGCGTCAGGTTTTCATGAGCCATCTTCTCGTTTCTTCTGTCACTCTCCTTTTTCTCCGTTCCTAGTGACAGTAAATTATTTGCTTTAACATGTGACTGATAATTATAACTGGGAAACTCTTCAGGTTATTACAAGTGATGATGGTGAAGATGATAATAACTGGAGTGACATTTGATGTGTTTGATAGTCATATCAGTTTGTCTGCAAGAAAACAGTCATCTTTGCCTTCTAACCTGAAGTTGCATGAGGCCTTGCTGTACTGCATGTAAGTATGTGAATAAATCTGGTTTATCTGTAATTAGTTGTAGTGAAGCTGCTATTTTATTTTATGTAGTTTTACGCCCATTTGTATTGATTCCTTCATTAGTTGATTTTACTTTGAAGGTTTTGAGCTGGGTAATCATGTTAAGCTAATGTATTCTTAGATTACTGTTCAAGGCGACTATTTATACAGAATGCAAGAAAATATGATAATTGAGTCATAAATCCCATTTGACTTTCTTACTAAATAGGAGACAGTTTGGTTTTTTATTATTAGCTTTGGTTTTCTCCCTCAACAGTCTTGGATATATATATATATATATATAGATAGATATATTTTGGGTTCTTATTTTCAGACATTGTTCACGATGGTGCTATATGCAATTCAAACTGGAATTGACCAAATCCTTTCTTGACAAATAATTTTTAGCACCATTTTTTAGGTAATAAATAATTAATCTAACATGGTACTAAAGTATCAAGGGTTTGAGTATCACTAGAGGTTATTATGACTGCTTAAATACAAGATCTAGGGTAATGTCTTTGGTAGGGATACTCTCAATTAGAATTAACAATGCTCAAATCTAATTAGTCATGTATCAAAGAAAGTATTATCCTTTGCATATTTCTTGTAGAATTGTCTTTTTTTTTTTTTTCATATTGCTTCTCAATTTAATCTTATGTTTGGATTAATTTGGATTTGGATCTAGATTTGAATCTGAACAAAATCTAAAAATCTAAATCTATTTCAAATTATAATTGTGTGTGTAATTCCTGTGTAATTCCTAATTTTTTTTCATTCTAATCATTTAAAATTTTAATTACTTTAAACATTTTTTTTCATGTTTTTACTGTTAATACCTCTATAATTTTCATATATTTTTTCCTCATTTTTTGTTGACTAAAATGAAAATAAATTCATTGTTTTTAATTTTTAATGTTTGTTTTGAATTTCAATTCATTTCTTCTCTTCATTTAAAATTTTTAAAATTATTTAAACAAAGGATTTTAAATTTATAAATTTTAAATATAAAATTCAAATATAAATCAAGTAAAATTATTTTATTTAGCTCCTATGTATGATTAGTTAGGAAGATTCTTAGCTGCCAGTCGCCAAGGAGACTCAATGGAACATATCATATGTTCCACGAGTGTGTTGATATTTTTATTCTTTTTGATGTAAAAAAATTAATCTTCGGCCCAAAAAATTATTGTCAAAGAGAGAAATAGTTAATAAAAAGGGATGATATGTACACATTTAAAAAAGATAAAAAGGTCATTAATTAATTGAATTTGAATTATTCTTAAACTATTTAATTTGTAATTAATGATTTTTAGCATAGGCTTCTCGTCAATCGTTCTAATTTTTTATTTTAATCGGGGAAATATTATCTATTTCAATAAAACAATAATTAATATGAACCGTTTTGTACGTTTATTTGTTAATCGGCGCTGTTTTCTGCCTTGTTTTTTGGGCTAATCCAAGTAGCAAGATTGATGATGTGGAACTTGGAAGGCTTCAGAGAAAGAGTAGAAAGTGTACCACGCGTTGAAATCCATGGGCCGCAAAATTTTTATTATAACATCGGCATCATTTGATTATAAATTTTTTTTGAAATATAATTTTTGTTATTTAGGACCTGTTTTTTTAATTTTATAAAAAAATGTTTTGTAGTAAGGTTTTTAGAATTATTTTTTAAAACAAAACAAAGAAAAATTCACCTGATCATGTTAATTTAAAAATAATTTTAAAACTAAAAAAATAGGTTCCTAGTTATGGTTGTAAGCAATTAATAATGGTGGTTTGTGATAGAAATTAGTCAAACTAACTATATTTTTTAATTATCAAATATACTATATTTTTAAAGTAAGAAAAATAAAATAAAAATGAATTTAATACGTTTTTTAAGATAAAAAATGAGAACGGTCTTAAAAACAATTAAATCCAAAATATTGTCCAATTGAGTGTTTTAATTTTTATATTTTAAAAATATATAAAATAGTTTAAAAAACAAAAATCAAACAGGCCTTTAAAAACTATGCAATCAGAGGTCAATGTGAGGTAATTGCAACCCCTTATTTTGAAAAATATTACAACTATGCTATAGAAATTTTATAACTTTGCGCCCTTTAATCTTGATTCTTTGTCCCTTTTAGACTAAATAAAAAAATATTTGAGCTCAAAAACTTATTAAATATAAAATAGTTTAATGATTTATATAAAATATGAAGAGTATATTTTCATAAAAGATCATATCAACTTGGTTATTATAATTTTTAGGAAAAAATGATAATTAATTTATTTATGTTACTATAATTTTAGTCCTATAGTATAGTTATTATTTTTAAAAATATTAATTTTTTATTAAATTATCTAGCACCTCTTGACTTCAGGTCTTGGCTTTGCCACTAGTTGGGGTTGGATATGATGGAAAGAATTAATTCCTCACAACATCACAAATGAAGGTTTCAATTTTCATTAGGAGATGTGATTATATTTAATATCTGATAATGTTTTGAATATGATTCTTTCAATAAGAAGGTGTCTCTGAAAAAAAAAGAAAAAAAAACTAGGAAGAATTACAACTAGCCACCTGCCAAGGGAATTGATTATAAACAAGCACCAATTTAGGATGGATTGTTGTTTAAAATATAAAATATGACTTGTTTTTTTTTTAAATGAGAATTATTATTAGTCCTTGTTGGTAATTAATTTTTTTAAGAAGGGGCTGCTTATAATTCTCTCAAAAAATTATGCATCTCAGACTCAATCTACAGATGGTGTCGCCATCTATTTTATCAACCTAATTCAAATTCAAAACTATTATAAAAACTTCATCCATGAGAGAGCTAAGATGTGTAAACGCCCAAATTCTCACTGGTATTTTATATTACCTTTAAAATTTTTGTCACTCAAATATTTTTATAATTTATTTATGTTTGATTTGATGAATAGATGCATGTATGCACGTTCTCATATTCCTATCCTAGTATCTGTGTGCATCACATGTAAAAGCACCAAGGAAATTTCATTTAAATCAAATTAAAATTTATAATATTAAATTTATTACAGTTTTCTAGCTCGAGGACTTATTCTCGTATTTTATGAAAAAGTTAAAAAAAAACCACTATCAAGATCATGAAATTATAATTTCTATAAAATTTAATGACATATTCCTTAAATCATGTGGATAACTTTGATCCTAAGAATAATTACCAAAAGGAGAAAAAATAAAAGAAAAAAGAGACATCACGAGCTTACTTTGACAGCTTCCAAAGATAGGAAGAGGTCTATGAAAATGTGGGCTGATAGCAACTTATTTTTCTAAAGAAAAATTAATATCATGATAGTTCAACCATACTTATCACTATGAGTTTTTTAAATTAATTATTCATGTCATAATCTTTTTCCAGGATGGAACCTAAGATAGCTAAGCTTCCCACTTGCGTAGACCAGCTGGGAACAACTGCACATCAATTGAAACTAAAATAATAAATATATAAATAAATATTAGGAGAATTAATCTACGAATCCTTATAATTTTTCTGAATTTTTAATTAAATTTTTATAATTTATTTTATTTTAATCAAGCGTTTATAATTTAATTGATTAAATATGTCATCTTTGGTTATTAAAATATTTTAATTTTACCTTCTTTAAAAAATAAAATTATGGACTTTTATATGTTTACTAAAAATTATATAATTTTAGAATTAATTACATAATATATTTAAAATTAAATTTTTTATTATTCGGTAATATTTTTTAAATAATTTTATACACATAAAATTTTCATAAAAATTAATAAAAATATAAATATTGAATTGAATAAAAATTTTTAGCTAAAAGCATTAAATCAATTTTTCCGTAATTCTTAACAGCGTTTTTATTTAAAAAATCCAATTATTCATTAATAATTTAAAATTTAGGGACTAACCTATTTAATAGATTAAGAACTCAACTAAAAATAAATAAATTACAAATATCTGATTTAAAATTAAAGAAAATTACAAGAACTTGCGGAGTAATTTTTTAAATTATTAAAAAGAAAACAGAAAGTAAGAAGATAGAAAAGGTTAAAAAAGACTTTTCCTCCTTCATTTATTTATTCATTTATAATTATAACAAGTTGACGCGCTAAACACATCTCAGCAAGCAACATGCCGCTCCCCTTTATCAACTGGGCTTTAATTAAAATCCCTGACAATTTTTGGTGAGAAAATTATTATAAAAAAATTATTCTCTTATATAATAAAATGTTTTCATCTCTAAAAGTCTGCCTTAAAGCTAGACTGATGAGAATCAAATTCAATTTGATGAAAATGAGGTTAAAAAAAAAGAAAAAAAGAAATCTGCCGGCAAAATTTCTTGGTCTTCACACAACTTGGAAACTTGTAGATCTTTGATTAGCATATAAGAATTAAGAATTCAACACAATAGAAAGGCTGAAAGTGTACTTATTAATTATAAATAGAAGGCAGTGTCTAAAGGTATTTAATTAGCCAAAAAAGTCTTTGCTTTTAAAAATGAAAGGCATAGACTTTGGGAGCACAAGGAAGACAAAGTGCAAAGTTTAGAGATAAAAGAAAGCAAATTGAATTGAGGTTGCATTGTCCACATTAAGAAGTTGAGGAGCGAGTTGGAGATGATCTCACTTTTCAATTAAACAATTATTAATATATTAATCTAATGATAAAGATCACATAGATATATAAAAAGATTCGTTTTAATTTGGCAAAGAAATGGCAAATCAATCAGAAAATTGTTAAATCAAAAGCATTGCGTAGGAAAAGGGAACCAAACCCACACGACCTCACATATTAAATTTATTAATATTTGTTGCTGCGGGAAGCAAAAAGTTTAGCAACAAATCCATCTGAACCTGCAAAAGTTGGCTTTCGTGTCAAAAGTAAATACCAAATACCATTATCCCAACAAGCAACTTACTTTAAAATTCATCCCAAAAAGAAATTTAAAAAAGTACTTTGAAAATCTATATATATCCACTTAAATATGAACCACCATCTTTCTAAATGATTCCCGCGTGACCCTACTATCTAATTCTTTTACAAGGACTTGAACAAAATCTAAACTAATTTATATCCAGTCGTGTCAGAATTCATATGGATAGAAGTTCTATTTATTAATACTGTTACATTCTCATAGTTCAAACTTAAGATTTTTTTTTTAAAGTTGGTATGACTTTTTTACCAATTAAACTAATCACCGAGTGGTTTTTATGAGTTCATGTTTTGGTTAGAAATGTTTTTTTTTTTTATTTAAGTAGCAAACCATCTGGCGTCTGAAATCGCATTGGAGTCCAACTAATTTAAATTTGGACTGGGTCAAGTCCCAAATGTTAGATAGTTTTTTCTTTTTTGTTGTTGTTGTTTTTTTTTTTTTTTTTTGCATTTACACACATTCAAGCTCAAAATCTCATGCTTAAACAATTATATAGATCTTTCAACTAGGACCAACTCCTCTTTCACTGCTCATATAATTTATAAATAATATGATATATTTTGAATTTTATATTTTATGTTGATACAAAATCAAAGATAAAATTTAAACATGGGATACATGAGTGAAGAAAAAATGGATGCTGTTCATTGAATCCCTATAAATTGCCGGTGGGTTCATTTCCTCGTTGTTTGCCAAAAAAGTGCTCAGTGCCTACCAAAAGTTCTTGTTCTGATCAATAACTTGTGATTCTGAAAAAAAAAACAAAAAAAAGAAAAGAAAAGGAAGGAACTGTGTAATTAGGTTGGCATTTCAAAAATCATTGGCTTAAAGTGTAAAAGCAAGAAACTGACCAACAAAAAGACTCTCTGTGGGGTATTTCCGCATTTGTATCAAATTTATACCTCACTTGTTTTGACTTATACAGTTGTTCAAATATTGTGCCACCTCACCAGTTGCTAATGTTCTTGTAATTTTTTCTTTATTTTTTAAGTTAAATATATGCAGGTTTTAAGAGCCTAGAAATATATATATATATATATATATATAAAACTTCTACAAAATTCAATAGCATCTTAAGTTGCATAACTTTGAAAATAAAAATAAAATAATCCCTCTATTTAAAAATGTAAGATATTTGTTAAGAGCTTAGATGTTTAAAAATGTTAATTATTTTTAATGTTTTCAAGTGTAATTAATGTGTTTTTTAAAAATATTTTTAATAAATAAATCACTTTTTATTTATTTATAAGTGAAATACCTTATTAAATAAGGATAAATATAAAAAAATGAGGTTAATTTGAAGATAATTAACTATTTTATTGAGGTGATATTATATTAAAAAGGCCTTACATTAATTTTGAATGGAGGGAGTTTTGTGATCTACTTGATAATTTAGTTGCAATAACAAATAAGTTAATAGAAGTTTTATTTACTTTACTTAACAAAAGTAACCTCTTAAATTCTTTAAGCATCATTCCAGCATTCGATTTTAAGAAGTCTGTATGGGGAAAAAATCATTTGGGAGCTGATAATTCCTTAGATAGTGGTTAAATTTCTAGATGAATTAGTCTTATGGTTACTGATTGTAGGGTTGTTGTGGGAAAAAAAGTAACCTCTTAAATTTTAAATTTCAAAATGTGATAAATCTAAGCAATTTTTTTTGAAATAAAATTTAATTCAACATGACAGGTATGATCATGAGTCAAAAAGTGAATGCACTGCACGCATATGAATTTAATTTGGACGTGCACTGTAAAGATTGTTGTTCAACAGACGAACGGCTCTGCACAAGCCTAGCTTTTTTCCTAAATCTGTAAAGAAAAAGATAAGAGAAAAATATAAATATATATAAATAGATATCTATCTATCTATGACTAACTTTTGATGATGGAATTTCACTAAGAGTGCTTGGATCACCAAACCAAAATTGTTCTCTCTTAGCTAAAAATTTGAATTTGAGTCCTAAACATGCAGCAACATAAAGTGGTCAGGCGTGCTAACTTTTGTGGTACTTGTCAGTGCTGGTCAAGTCTTGATTCGGATTAGTTTGGATCTTATTAAGTTCTCATAACTCAAGTGAGGTAAGTTTATAATACTAGGTTTAGGTGCTCACTTAAAAAAACAAAAAAACAAAACAGATAGAGAATGATAGTGAGGGGTCTAGAGGGGAAGAAAGAAATAGTGAGAAGTCTGAATAACTGAAAATTCATAAATGAATGAAACAATCAATAAACCTTTAATTATGCATGGATACCTTTAGTCAGGCCTCGTTACCATTTTTTCCCCCCCGTGGCTCCTCACTGCATTCTGCCGAAAAAGCCACTAGTTTTGGGCTTTTGATTCACTTCGCAAGAGACCTACCTGGATCGGGACCCACCACGCACCCCACCCTGCATGATTCTGACGTAGACTTCTGATGTGGACAAAAAGCTCCCCACTTTGGAGCCTTTTCACTTTTTTGCCCCTTTTCCAATCCATCACTTTATACTCCACCTACACCTACGTTCTTTACTTTTTTTCTTCTTTCTTTCTTTCTTTCGCCTCTTTCATACTCACTTTCTTCCTCTCTCTCTCTCTCTCTCTCTCTCTCTCTCTCTCTCTCTCTTTTCTTTTTCGCTGAAAGGGTTTGTGATTGTACCAACTGTATGTTATGCGCTTTTCACCCCCTTTTTCTCTCCTCCTTCTTACGCATATATAAAAGAGACCTTCCATCGTCTCTTCCTTCATTATCAGCCTCAACCCTAAACCAGAGCCTTAATTATTCTTTAAGAGTAGTGATAAAGGACAGCTTTTTCTGTGTATGTAGAATAGAGAATGGCCGATGTGAAGAACGGCCAGGATAATCATCAGGGGATAAAGCTGTTTGGGGCTACGATCACGTTGCATCGGGGGAGACAGGTGGATCAGAAGGTGAAGGAGGAGGAGGAGGATCGAACGACGCCGGAGAAGAGGCCGGACAAGATCATACCTTGTCCGAGATGTAACAGCATGGACACCAAGTTTTGTTACTTCAACAATTACAACGTTAATCAGCCCAGGCATTTCTGTAAGGGCTGTCAGAGGTACTGGACTGCCGGCGGCGCCCTCCGGAACGTGCCCGTCGGAGCCGGCAGGAGGAAGGCAAAGCTTCCTTACCGTGAGGCTGCTGGCTTCTCGGAGGGGTATAGCTACGAGGCATCCGTCGACGGCGATCACCGACGGTTTGGTTTGGATGAGGGGTTGAAAATTGTGGAGGAGTGGCACGTTGCGATGGCTCAGAGTGGTTTCCGGCACCTTTTGCCGGCAAAACGGCAGAGGAACGACATAGCCGGTCAACCTTTTTAACCTCTCTCTCCCTCTCTTCTCTCTTTTTCTCTTACGTTTCTTTCTTTTTCTTGTATATGAGAATATTAAAAATTAAAAAAAAAAAAAAGCTCCATCCAACTTTCATGGGGCATATTATCTTACGAGTTACGAGACATTTTCATGTTGGAAAAATTTTTTAACTGAAATTCTCAGGCAGACAATCTTTGGATGCATGAGAAAAAGAGAGAATGCGATTTGAATAACTTAGTATAAAAACAATAGATATTATCAAACGAGGAAAATTATAATTCATTCATTTATATATATGTATGTATGTATGTATATATTATTTTTTTAAAAAAATTAATATTGTTAAGAAAATTATTATATGCTTCATTAGTTTAGCATTAGAAGCCATTAATATTGTTAAAATTATTATATTTTCATTGAAAAAACGACAAACTTTTATAAATACACCAAAATCTCGCTTTTCCTTTTTTTTTTTTTTTGCACAATCATAATAATATGCCTCAATAGTTTAGCATTAATTCTACATGATTAGGGTTAGGCGTCATTGAAGGGCTAATATAACAAAATACGCCGTATGCATTTCGATCGGAACAATCATTGTTTTATTTTTGAAGTCAAAGTATTTGATGTTCAATTATTGAGTTGCCTTGGCATTTTTTTAAATATTGTGAAAATGGATCAAATAATATCTGATGTTGCCGTTCAAGGCTCAATGATGCTTAGCAAGTAGGAGCCGCGTCAAAAACTTGTTGCTTGAATAACAGTATAATATTTAATTGAGGCTGCCGTGAAAGGAGGGGAAGAAGTCAACGAATGATGTTTATCTCTTATATTTTTAGTCCTTGATTAATAGAATTCATATGATATAATAATTATTCTTAAAGACAATCAATTTCTGTAATTTCTGTAATATCCATCTAAATTAAATTATTATAAGTTAAATCAAAGTAAACTTGATTCTGTAATTTTAAATTAACAAATGAAGCTAACGTTGATAGCTAGGTATTTTTGTTTTTTAAAATATTATTTAAAATATTTAAATGTGAGAGGTTAATTAGGGATAAAGAAGATGGGGTGGTTGGCGGTGACAGGAGTGCGATCCACGAAAGCCACGGTGTTGAATAAACTAATGTGCGTACGAAATCTGGAAATGGACAAATACATGATAAATAAATTAAATTGCGAAATTACAAATAACAAAAGGCTTTGAAATTGCAATTATAATGTGGAATTTAATTATATTTCTTTTGTCTCTGTGCTGACAATTATATCAAGGCCTCTTGTGAACATCGTCATCCCGATTGATTCTAGAGGCCGGCCACTTCATTATTCTTATTTTCATACTATTCAATACAACCTAAGAACCTCGACTTCACTTTTTAAAAACAAGGACTTCTTTTAAAAAAATACGATAATTAAGAAAGATTCCAATTCCAAGTTTATTATCATTTGTAGTCGTGGGATGAAATTATTGTGTCTGTGTCTTCTCTTCTTAAGGCATCCAAGATGTTCAATAATTTTGGGTCCGTGTCCATGGGATTTTTTTTGTTACGGACCTATTTTCTTAAAAAAATCGTATCCAGTGATATATAAAGAATGTTATTTACAAATAAAAACTAATAAAATATGAATTATTGTTAAAATAAAAATTTAAAATTTTTTTTGAGTGATAACTTGTTGGTAATCTTTATTTGTAAATAACATTCTTTACAAGTTTTTAAATTTAATTTTTTTATTCATGTGAAACACTCAATATCCTGGCTAGATGAAGTTGAGGAGACTTTAACCTGATATTAATAATCTTTTTTAGTTTTTTCCTGCTTTTTTTCCCAATCAGAATTATTATTTAATATGAGCAGTAAATGCTCTTATTATTTAAGTGAGTGATTGAGTATTCTAATTCTAATTCTTATATATACAGTGATTTAGGATCTGTTTGGATTCACAATATTTAACTTTTTGAAAGTACGTTCCTTTATTTAAAAAGTCAAATGTTTTTTGGTTACTTTAAAATTATTCAAAATAATTTTTTTAAAAGCACATTAAAAAACAACCAGAATGTAAATTTGCCAACGTATTTGAGTGAAGCTTTTCAAAACCACATTCACATTTCCTTCCTTCAAATTGCTCCTAGACATGTCAGAAAAGTGACCTGTTTGCATGTGATTTAATAATTTGCTTTGTTCAATTACACGGCACTACACGAGCAACACTTATTTTGCAGCAGTTTCCTTTTACTTTGCTTCCATTCCAATAATGGGTGATTTTTTTTGTATCAAATTATTTTGCTATAAGTTATTAATAATTACTTGTTATATATGTATATTACTCATTTATAATTTATAATCTTATTTTTTTATAAGCATTTTAATCTAATATGAAACATTTGTATAACAAAAATTATAAATAATAAAATCAATGTTTTTTTTATAATTGTACATTCAAAAGCATATTTTACTATATATAATTCAAATAACTTTTAATTTGTCAAATTAAGTTTTGAAAAAATATAACCAAATACAAATTTCATTACAACAACTGACTTTCATTAAATTAATTTTTATCAAATGAACTTTCACCAAACTAACTTTTGGCGAAATGAAAACCAAACACATACTTGGTAGGCCTTTTTGATCTCATTCATATTCTTATAAAAAATTAAATAAAGGAAAAAGGTTTCTGAATATTACCTTCAATATTTCAAAAGAAATATTTTAGGAAAATCACAATCTAGGATATCTGAAGATAATTAATTACATTATAGAATTAAATAATTCTAATATTTTTTTGCAGAACTTAATAATTCTGATGTAATTAAAATTTGCTGTGAAAAGAAAATTACTCCTTATGTATTTTTGTTGTGATGGGAAATTAATTATTGTTAAAATGAGAATGAGACTTGTTTTTTTTTTTTTGAATTGAGACTTGTTCACCAAATTATAACAATTTCTATATCAAATTAATATGTTGTAGTTGTTAATGAATGAATGAATTATTATTAAAATGAAAATAAGATTTATTTTGTTTATCAAATGGAGACTTATTTATTAAATTACAACAGGTGTTTCTCTCAAATACTAAATTAATTTTTTGAAATTGTTAATGAGAGAATTGATTGTTATTATAGTGAAAATGAGACTTTTTTGTTCTTGAATGAAAATTTATTTACCAAATCACAATACTTGCTTCTCTCAACCACCAAGTTATTTTTTCAGAGTTATTAATAAGGGAATTGATTGTTGTTAGAATATTAATAAAACTTATTTTTTTTTTAAATGAGGAGTTATCGTTAAAGGAGTATATAATATACATATGAAGCATAATTTTGTCTATTCACAACAAATGCAGGTACTTTGATCACGGAGAGAAATATTAAAATTATTTAATCCTACAACATAATCAATTATTCTTCAGGGTTCTCGATTGTGATTTTTTCAATATTATATTTCTTTGGTAGGACTCACTTCTCGTAATCACATAAAAAGAATATGTTACTAAAGTAGTGTTGGGGGCCTATTTTAACTATAAAAAATAAAAAAAAGTAGTATGGGATAAAGATGACACTTTTCGAATGATGTGACATGATTGAAGGCGTTGTGGTGTGGAAGTGGATACACCACACACGCAAAAAGTTTTACTTTACGATCTTCCAAGCTTTTGTTTCGTGTCCACACTTTTGTTTCGTTTCGTTTGTCATTTATGCTGATACGTAAAAGTTATAACAGATTGAAAATAGCCAAGCAATTTATTTTGCCCCATTATCTGCCACACTGTATGTTTTAATTCGAAGGGAATCATACCCATATCACACAATATTGCCCCCCTTTTTTTTGGGGCTAAGTTATTCCCCCCCTAAAATTAATCAATATACTCTTTATAGATCACTGTGATCTACTACGACGTTTTATTTAATTGCTTACTAACGTCAACAGAATGATTCCTTCCTAATGATTAAACTTTAAAGAAGAAGCAATTATGATGTTCATAAGTTTTCTCCTCCAACAAACATTTCCGAAATACTTGGATCAATCCTAGATTCAAGTGGAAGAGAAGCTGATGTTGTATTCATTGGTTCAGTACTATAAGATCCCTTCTATATATATATATATATATATATATATATCATGTTAAAACATATAAACTATTTTAAATCTTTCAAGGTACCCTAAGATTTTCCCCCTCTAGAAATGCTCTTAGTTAAGAAATGTGATTAATAAAAATTTCTAGAGTAGAATACACCAACCTCTTCTCTATTTTATCTTAATTATATATACCTCTTTTTTTTTTAAAAAAAAAAACTAATATAAACCTCTCTTGAAATCAAAATTTATATGATACATACCTCCTTTCTATTTTAAAGATTCCATTTCCATCTATCCAACTATTAATTAACTGTTAAATCATATATTTGGAACTAAAATACCCATTTTTAAAATAATTGTTATTTAAGAATCATTAAGTTTTCAAACAATCACTATAAATTAAATTTAATATAATTTATGTTAATTAATTTTTAATATTTTTTAAAATGTTTATGTAAATATAACTGTAATATTCTTCAAAATAGGAGGAGAGATAAGACGTCAGATTATAAGGTCAAATTAATCATTTTAATTTTTTTACATATTTTAATTAAAATAATAAAAGCATTTTAGAATCTTAAATAGAATAATGTTCTTGATGATGTTAAGAAAAGGACTGAGGTACAAGTTTTGAAAACAGAGAATACTCTCTGTAATTGTAACAAATTTAAAAAGTTATTGTATTTTGCTCAAATTTTTAATAAGACATTCTCTTAAATAAAATTAAAAATAAAAAGAATGTACTTTTACGTACATAATATAAAACATCTTTTAAAATTTTTGTTTTGATTCAAAATCTAATACATTAAGTAATTTTTATAATTATTTTTTAATTATACCATTATTTCATCTATTACTCTTTCTTTTTAAAAAAATGATGCAATAAAATTTCAATTATCATTGTTACTATGCTTCTATAGGGTATGTAATAAGAGCATAATTAAAAAAATATATAATTTTTTCAGAGATTAAAATTTTATATAACTTTTTTTAAAATTGTGAAATAATTAGCAATGTTTTATATTGTACTCCCTCTGTTCTTTATTATAAACCAAAGTTTCAAAACTTTTTTAGTTCTAAATATATGACAAATTTAGAATTATTATTTTTTTTCAACTTTATCCCTTCTTTATTTATTATCATTTGAATTCCTAAATAACAATTTATTATAATAATTAATGATAAAGAAGGAAAAAAAGTTAAAAATTGGATTTTTTTAACAATTTTAAGATTATAACTAACATTGCTTAATAAATGTGAAATTTGCTAATTTCATCTTACACGAGGAATTGGATTAATAGTTCGGAAGGGGCATAATTTTACATGTTATTAACTAGAATGGTAAAATAGTCAAAACCCAAAACTGCTTTATTTTGGCAAAAAAAAAAAAAAGGTGTTTTATAATTCTGCACCAGTTGACAAACTGATTTCTCATATTTTTCTCGAAGGTGAAATTAGATTAATAACCCCCTATAAGAAGCAGATCACAAACGCACACCCTGACACACCATACACGCATTACACGTACGTGCGTGTATAGTAAAATGAGCAAGGAAGGAATAAAGATAGATATTCTGTTCAGAGCACAGAAACAAACAAAAGAGAAGACGCGTGCGCCATAAAGTCCGCGACTAAGAAAAAATCAGCGGAATTATGCTCTGTGTTGTAAATGTGCAATTGAGTGATTGACTATCCTTCCTCCTCTTCTTCTTTATTCCCAACAAAAAACCAAAGTCATTAAACTAACCACCGTAAAAGTCCACAATAAAAAATGAAACTAAACACAAACATAACTAAGGACGGACCTATTTATAATATAGCACACAAGCTTAGAAAAAAATACATATAATAACTCTAAATATTTTATTTACCTCCATTCAAAAATTTCAGTTGCCCTTACATCCTCAAAAAAGAAAAGAAAATTCATTGGCCCCATAAAAAATATCACCAATTTCCTAATAAAATTATTTGACCAAAATCTTAAAAAGAAAGGACCAATAGTTTAGAAAATAATTTTCTTTGATTGTCTAAATTGAAAATTTTGTCACAAAATATGTATGCTATACAAAAAAGTTAAATTTTATTGGCAAAAAAAAATTTAGATGAAACAAATATTAAAGAATTATGAATTAAGTCCTTATCAATTGAACCCACTTTTATTGGTCAAAATTTTAAAGAGTTAGTAAGTTTTATTGATTAAAATTTTATGTTATTATAATTTTATATTTCATATATAGTTCTTTAATAGCATTTAATTGTAATAAATTTTATATTTAATATAATTTAATAAAAAATTATAATTAAGTTATTAATAATATTAATATTTATCTTATATACAAATTCTGCCTCCCACAAACTAATTTTCCAGAGTCCTACACTGAACATGGCAAACTTGAAATAATTAAAAGAAAAACATTGTCAGTATCAACATTTCCGGCACGCGACCCGACTCCGGGGGCTCAATTCTTTTAATAAATTGCCAGCCAACCTTCGAGTCGGCAACATGATTAGGATCCCTTAGATAAAGATTCATTTACAACAATTGATTGCATCCCATCTTTGAACTTTTGGTACAAGTATATGAAATTAATTAATTAATTTTCCAAATGACAATTATTTTTTTAATTTTTATTTAGGAATAAGAACAATAATTTTTTTTAAAACTTTTACTTAACATAAGACTTTGCATGATGTTAATTAATAAATTGAGTTAAGATATATTCCCTCCATTTAAAAATATAAAGCATTTTTAATTGAATTTCACCCTATGAAATAGTTACTTACTTTTAAATTAATTATATTTTTTCATATTTATCCTTATTAAATATTTTATAATAAATATAAAGTCATTTATTAATAAAAATATTTTAAAAAAATAATGATTATATTTCAAAAAATTAAAACTGACTTATATTTTTGAACGGATAGAATATTTTTATTTTTAAACTATTTTTCAATGAAAATTTATTGTTCTAAACTATTTGTTGTAATAATTTTTTTTAAAGTAATTAAAATGTCACATTTTTCATTGATGACATTCTAATATTGATAGTTAAAAATACTAACTGAAACACAAAAAATACTACCTAAAGTTTCACATAATTAAGGATCCGACGTGATTATTGCGTGGCACAAAGATGATTGCAAAGATTACTGTTGATAATGAGGTCATGGGAATCACATATGAAATTAATAAGATATGAGAATGAGGGAATAGAGCCCCCCTCCTGTAGAAATTAGTGGGGGGAAAAAGGGGATGATAATTAAATGAATTAAATTAAGTCAAGGAGTCGAGTTCAAGCTCATGCAAAACGGCGCCGCATTCAGGAAGCGGTTGCTTGCGGAGGAAGCCGAGAGGGTTGGCGGTTCGAACCGGTGAAACGATGCCGTTGTTGCGGGTCACGCTAACCCTAGCTGCCTGGTTTAGGAAGGACGATCCCTGAATCTCGCCGCACTCCGGATCGCTGCTTCTGGCGAGAACCACCTCGCATGACTCGTCTTCGTGATCTCCTTCTATCTCCACACTGTACCCACCCGAACCGTCCGTCACTGCCTCTTTGCTCAGCGTCACCTTCCCGCTCTCTACTTCCCGGCATTCCAACCTCACCGTCGCACCCGCCATGAAGCGACTGAGGCGGGTCATGAATTGAGCCCGGCAAGTGTCGCAGTAGACGGAACCCTCCACGAAGAATCGATCGCGGCACTCGCCCAGATTTACCAGGGACAGCAGGCAAAGGGCAGAGGCAAGGATGATGATGATCGTGCTTGACTTTGCCATTGCCGATTATTGATTCCTTGCCTTTATTGTTTCTTCGTTTGGATGGGGTTTTGATGCAGAGGGCGGGCTGACCATAACTCCGGCGTATTGCGGCCATTTTATACCTCAACAGGTTTGCCTAATCTTGGTGTTTGTTATTCCCGTGTGGCTCTCCTCCTTCGGGTTTTCCCTTGTTTTCCGATTGACCATCAGAGATGATCCTTTTTGTATGTGGCAACAATGAAAATTTAAATGGTTTGGGCAGAATATTTACATTCAAGCATTGTTTTGTAGGTAATGAAGGGTGGCAGTAGAGTGGTAAGAATTATGACAAATGAGTAATAACAAACAATAATAATCTAGTTTGGGATGAGATTTCTGCAAGTTTGTTGGAGAATGCTTTAGGATTTTTCAAATCTTGGTGAATTATTGTGTTTTGTTTACCTGTTGTGTTCCTCATTCTAAATTCGAATGCCTCACTGCGGAGCCAGGTTTGCATGAAGGGGGTGTAGAATGTAGATGCAAAACCTAAATAAATTGAATCGTGTCAGTTATTATATATAATATAAATAAATTTTTTATATGTTTCTGTATGATAGAACAGTAGTTTGATCTGTGTTTAAAATTGGTTCTTTAAATATTTTTTCAATAGGAGCCAACTTAATTTTATAAAGGCTAAAATATACAAAAACTTCTTTGCGTTTTGAAATAGTTATACAAAATCCTCTCATCTTTAAAAGTAAAAAAAAAAAGATAATAAAATTCTTTCAATTAAATTATATAAATAACAATCTGATCTTTTAAAATAACATAATTTTATTAAAGTTCTTAGAGATTTTTTTTTCAATAAATTTAAAATAAAAAAACCATTTTATCTTTATTAAAATTAATAAGTCTCAATAACAATTTTTACTTAATTAAGAAATAATAACTTTTATTTTGTGAATCGTAAGAGTTGAATGAGTATAACTTATCAAGTGTAATTTTTATTATTGAAAAATAAGTTTTAATTATAACTTTTGCTTAAAAAATAATAAATTTTTTTATGAGCATCACAAAAGTTTAACAAAAAATTACAATTTATCAAGTGTAATTTTAATTATTGAAAAATAAGTTCTCAAAATAACAAAGGGGGACTTTCAAATAAGAATTAGGGATGTGACTTAATTACTAATGGATTTTAAAAAATTTTAAAATTTCACTTCAATTTAGGAGGATAAAAGTGAAAATAATTTTGACTTTGAAAAAATCAAAATACTCTTTACTTATTATGTAAAATTCCTCGTTGTTAATTTCTTATTTCACTTATTAATTTATCAATATTATTTGTAAATTATATCTGTTTGTCAGACAAACAATAACATTAGTTGTTAATTTTTTAATTTTACTTATTAATTTACTAACATCAGTTATATTACAAGACTTATTAATAATTTATAATTAATATTAGTAAATTATAAGATCTATTAGTAATTTATAATTGATGTTAGTAAAGTAACAAGTAAAGTTAACAATTTAACAATTGATGTTGCTGCTTATAGTTGAACAACTGATGTCAAGTTTTATATAATTATTGATATGTCAACTCATATAATTTGTAACTCATATTAGTAAATTAACGAGTAAAATAAACAAATTAACAACTAGCGATTTTATATAACAAGTGAAGGGTATTTCAGTCTTTTCATAATTAAAATTATTTTTACTTTTATCTCCTAGATTGAACGAAAATTTCAAAATTTTATGGGACCCACTAGTGATTATGTCATATCCTTAGTCCTTATTTAAAATCCTTCCAATAATAAATTTCATTTGCAACTTTGGTTTAATAAATAATAACTTTTGTTCAAAGAATCACGATAATTAAATAAGAAATCACAACATCAATAAAGGTAAAATGATATTTTTAATTTAAAATTTATTGACACAGGGGTCTTTAGTAATTTCAGTAAAATTATAATATTTTAAGGGACTAGATTGTCATTTATATAATTAAATTTTTTTATCATTTTCCTAATTTTAAAATTAACCTCATTAACTTTTTTTTTTTTAACCACATACTACCATACTATTATCTCTTATTAACAAAAATTATCATGTCATATTAAAAAAGACATGTAATAGCTTATGTGACATCTAATATAAGCTAACAATAATTTTATACAAATTTTATTCATATTCATATTCATATTATTATTATTATTATTATTATTTGCATTTATTGGGTGCCACTTAAACTACTACATGTTTTTTCTTAAGATGATATAATAATTTTTGATGGCAAGATAACTAAGAAATAACAAAAACTATATCAAAGTTTAGGCAAGTGTTGTATATTTTTTAGCCTTTTATAAAACATGCTTAAAAAAAAAAAACACATACACACACACTACATGAAAAATTAATTGAATAAGATATATCGAAGGAAAATAGTAAATTACTTATTTTATGTATTTTATCTAATTGTTTTTATTTAAACTTTCTTCTTAATCACTTAAAATTTGAGTGGGAATATTTTTAATAGGGTTAAGGTTTAATTTTACCTCCATACTTATTTTTTAAGAGTGTTGGGCATCTTATACTAATAAGTGGGACAATTTTTTCCCCAAACTATTTTTTAGAGAAGCAAAATTTCCTTTCGTTAATTAACTGTTAAGTTTTTTGTTTTCTGATGATGTGTAATAGTAAGGGCCCAGTAATTTGACAAGTAATAATCAAATCCTCCATAGCGTTATCGGTTTCTCCCCAATTACATGGCTCTCCTTATACCTATTTAAGATCCTTGCCTCTTCCAAGCTTGCTGTAATACAAGCTTCACCAACCATCACCTCCGTTAGGATTACAGCTAGTAATTTAGGCATGTTGGACTAGGCTTAATTTAGGCTGAGCCTAAAATATCCTACCCTATTTAAAAAGCTTATATAATCAAGTTTGACCCTAATATCTTCATGTTTTAGGTTTATTCGGGTTGGCCTAAATATTCAAAACTTTTAAAACATATTTTTTCTTTTTTTTTGAACCAATTTTAATTTTTAAATAATTCTCTTAAGCATAAAATATTATTTTTACTTTAAAAGAATAAAAAAAATAATAACTTATCAACTTTGTATTTAAGTAACTCTATTATTTTTTATTATATTATATATAATTTATTCATAAATGTTTCCTTTACTTATAAATTAATGTCTTAGTTTTTTAAATATTACTTTTATCATGGTCATATTTAAATACTTTACATATTTTGGTTAAATTATATTATTTTAATTATGATCAAGTTGATCTCAATTCAATTGCGATTATATCATTAACTTAAAATTATTGCCTCGATTAATTTAAAGTTTTTAATAGCTTTTGGATAAACTGTACTTTTCATTTTTAAGAATATAAGAAAAATAATCATCATTATATTGTATAAAACAAAATCATTTAATTATGATTAAAATACTATTTTGTTTAGAAATATTTTTTTAACTTTTTATATTATTTAACCCCTACGTACAAGGGTATTTACTCTCGTTTATTCTTTATTTTTAACTCTTTATTTTTAACCAAGGTTAGCAACTAGCATGGGCGATAATCAAATAATTATTTAAGAGTATTGTTTTATTTACTATGCTTATCTAATAGTAAAATCAAAAATTCGTACATGCCAAAATTTTATTTTTAAAATTATTTTTAATTTACATTCTACTTTAAAATTAATTATTTTATTTTATAAAAAAATATAAAATATATTTTTTTGGATACTCAAATTATGTATAGGAATCAATTATTTTTAAAATAATATGTCTTAAAATATAAAAATCAATATTAAAATATATTTTAAATAATATTTTGAGATATTTTATTGATTTAAAATAATAAAAAATATGAAATATAAATATTTTTATTTTTTTAAAATAACTATAGTAATGCACTCAAATATATGGTATTTTAATATAAAATGACATAAAATTTAAAGAATTAACTAATATTTATTATATATTATATTTTTTATTCGGGTATTCGAGTCAATCTCGAACTTGATCAGGTTTGGCTTGAATTTTTTTGAGCCTATTTAGGCCGAACATTAAGAAATATTAATCAGGACCACCACCAGCCCTCTCCATCATGTATGACACAACCTGAGGAGGTTTTAGGCAAAAAAATGTGGTTTATCTTCATCTACCACAAGGAAGAGAAAGAGCTTGGAAGGAAAAAGGTCTATGGCTCTTACCCTTATTATGTCGGCAAGGTTGAAAGTGTCAATATCGAGATCTAGTGGTGGGTTTGTTTCTTTTCAAGATCAAATGCAAGTATTTTTGCACTCTTTGTTCCAAACACTTAGAATTTGCCTCTTTTTTTTCTTTATTTTGATTGTTGTTGAGATATTTTGGCTTGATTATTATTCTCATTGATGGATTGAAGATGTAGGAGCTCTTGATTTTTCTCTTTCTATATTCTTCCCCTAATTTTGATTTACTCAAATTATAGTACAACTTAAGTTTGTTGTTGGCATTGTAGGCGTCTTCAATAGAATCCTTGTTTACTAAAATCATAGGAAGTAGGAGATGAATTGGGGAAGATAGAAGGACAAAAAGGGCTGAGGTAGTGATGATGATAGGAGGAACGGTGGTTGTGGATCTCTTTAATGAAGTCGCTTTGGTAGTAAGGGTAGGCGACATTGTCTCAATCCCATAGGTTAAAGATCTAGAGGAGCAAGCCAGAACTTCCCTCTAGTTTTGATGTATTTAAGATGAGCCTCTTTCATTCTTTTAATAGTATTCCATAGACTCCTTATTTCATTTGGTGGGAGGCCTATCTTCTTTCGCCTAATCTCTGATAGCTAGAAGCATGGGATTGAGTTCCTTCTAGGCAGACATGAAGTTTTGAACTGTGCTTTTATGCTTTGGGCTCTTTCAACTATCATCCAGGCCTCTTTCACTAATGCCTCAGCCAGCCGATTAGGATTAGCCACCATCAGTATAGTGTAATGATCCAAAGTTGACTGGGGAGGAAAAGAGCGTGCTTCACTTCCATTCATGCCACATTGTCAATAAAAAAGAAAGAAGCCATGTTAGAGGTTTAAGAGGTTAAAACTTATAGATGGAATTCCAAGTTAGGAGATAATAGGCCCTACCTTATGACACATAATTAGAAAATAGAAGAATAAATGGCTGACTAACAGAGGGAGAATTTTGCTTTTCTAAAAAATAGTTAAAAGCAAAAAATTGCTCCATTTACCAGTATAGGGTATCCAACGCTCCTTGAAAATCAGTATAAGAGTAATGTTAGACCTTAACCCTTTTTAATATGATAATTTAAAATATTTTTTATTATTTTATTCATTTTGAAAAATAATATATTCTTTTAACCACTTTGATGACTTATACTTAATCTCACATTTATTGAAGAAATACTTCCTTTGAGATCTACTCATTTCGTTAATTGTGTGATGATACTCACAGAGGCAATTTCTGGTAGGTGTAATGACCCCTATCATTATCCTCACTTAACCA